GCAACTGCAACTGCAACTGCCACTGCAACCGAAAGACTGCTTACTGGGCGCTCTAATGTGTAGCTCATAGATGCATTTCATGTTAGCTATAGTGTTAGCTTAAGCTGAAGGCCCCATAATAAATCTTAAGTCAATTGCAAATGTTGTTGTTGCTGCTGTTGCTGTTGCTGCTGTTGCTGTTGTTGCTGCTGTCGGTATATTGCTGCTGTTGCGAATGGCCATGGCATTGGTTGATGATGTGTCTTAGCCTCTGAGTAAACCGGCTGGCATTGGACCTCTCCTGTCCGATTTAATTATAACGGTAAAAGGCAACAAACACAACATCAGAGGCAACAATGCGGCAACTGCAACATCAGGCAATTAGACGAAGATCTGGTGACATCTGTGCAACTGCATCCCAAATGGGATTGCCAATCAAATCGCCCCATCAGCTCATCAAATCAGCTCATCCTGCACGGAGAAAAATTTTGTTTAGTTATTTCTATATGATATCAACACTAATGAAACAGAAAGATATTAGATTATGAATCATTTTTTATCTATCATTTTAATTGTTTAATTTGTTAAAAGAAAATTTTATATTTCAAACATTTTTTGTAAGTTATTCAAACCTCTTATATTTTTTAATGTTTATTTCTCCTGCCTGACTGCAGACGGCTCTGGTCTCAGCGAGATTTTTCCGCCTCGGACGCCGGTCTCACGTATACCATCGCGGGCATCGGGTCCGCTCGTGGCCAGAAGCAGCGGCGCCATCGGCAGCAGCGGCACACGCAGCGCTGCAGCAAGGGCAGCAGCACCGGCAGCCAGCGGCCCACCAGCGCCTTCATGCCGGAGTCCGTCTGCTCCTCGGCCCAGACCCAGTCGACGGCCACGGCCACCGAGAAACTGGAGCAGCAGTTGCACCATCACCACCAGCAACAGGCGATGGCCACGCAGCAGCAACACCATCAGTACCTGAACGAGTGAGTGAATGGCCGGTTTCCAGTTAAACGTGTTTTCATTCTAACATAACCATCCTCGATTAGGCAACAGCAGCGCCAGCAGCAGCGCGAATATATAGACGTTCCTCTTCCCAAGTCCATTGCCAAGGCAGCGGCGGCGGCGGCGGCAAGTGGAGGCGATGGAAACGTGGGCACCGGCGGCACTCCGTTCGTGCTCAAGTACAATGCCTGTCAGCCAGTGAACAATCTGTAAGTGCAACTATCTTATAAATTATTGAAACACTTAAGCTATTCATTTTTTCGTTGACAAAGTAAAAAATGTATTTAGGACATTATATTGTCCATATTTAGGGCATTGTTATTGTTTTTTAAAAAGCTTTCACCATTCTACCGACTTTAAAAAGGCTTGGTTAATCAATTAGTTTTACTACTGTAATTGTTCTTTAAAAAAGGAGTTGCATAACAATTTTAAAATCATACTCCTATCAATTTATATGTTTCCTTTTGGAACCATTATGTGGAAGTCTATAAATTAAAAAAGGGTTTTGTGTAAAATACAAATTTTAAAAGAAAGGAATTTTTATATGTCACATAAGACAAAAACTTATGCAAACATTCAAATTTAAAATAAGTAAACGAGTTGCATATATACACATACATAACTAAGTTATTAAACTGGCTGACCAAACATTTTTTAAACCCGAAAATATCTCGTTAAATTAAAAAATATCTTGCCGTTAACGTTTTTAAAAATGACCTTTAAAACTAAACTTTTACCACTTTTCAAATATTTCTTAACAGGAATAATTATGAAACCTCGCTGTTCTCACTGCACTCGACGGGTCAGGACTCTGGGGTGGAGTTCCTGAGCAGTCGGGAGCTGTACGAGACCTCGCCGGACTCCTTTCAGCATGGTGGCTCCAAGCGCGGCACCAATCCGGAAGTACTCTGCCCCAGACATGCCAAGGCTCACTTGGAGCTGCGCCAGCCTCATCCAAATACAGACAGTAGGTGAGTGAGTCAAGAGGCATACATTATCCTTAATTCTCGATTTGAATTTTTAATAATATTGCCCACCTTTTATCCTTGATACCAGTGACACCTACGAGGACTCGCTGAAGACCGATGAGCCACTGGTGGCTCACAATTGTCGCAGTGTGAACTGCGAGAACCGCCTGCATCAGCACCACCCCAGCCATCACCCACACTACCAGAACACGCGCTTCGAGAAGCGATCCTGCGTGCGGCACTCCTTCTCTGGGGTCAAGGACGACCTCATGCAGCAATCGCCGCAGATCTCGCTGCGCCCCCGGGGCCACGCCCTCCGGAACTCGATGAACGACCTGGAGCAGAGGTTGCACAACCTGGAGCAGTCCTTTCGCCGGCCGCTCGAATTTAGCAAATCTAATTCATTGTTTTAGTATTCCTTAGCTAGACAGAAACGCAGTGCAATTTTTAGTTTAGTCAGCTTAGCTTAGATGTTAGATCTTAAGAAACAAGTGCAATAAATCGAAGTGTGTTTTAAGATCAGTAGTCAAAGTATTTTTTTTCACTCAAACTATGTTAAACCTATTAGACTATTAGTTTTTTTTTTTTTTTCAAGAAATCCCAAATTTTGTTTTTTCAATTTGGAATAAACCTTTTAATGCTTTAAACTTTGTTGCTGATTTCACGGCTAAAACACTTAATAAAATGAAAATATTATTTTTGTTTTTTATTTGTTTTTATAAAAATTAGAATGGCTAATAATTGTTCCCTGTTAAAAAGACCTTTATTTATTTTGGTTCTTGCCTTTTGCCCCAAAATATATATTTTCTACATCTAAAACTGTTGTTTAAATATTTCTTGACAATGGCAATAGTTTCGTAGATAATGAAACCAACCAACTATGAACCAATTATCTGTAATCAGGAAAAAAAATTAAAAATAATTAAAATTTGAACTAAAAAAGTCTTGTAACTAATTAAAAAAATATATTGAACAAATGTAGATACAAAATGTGCAGTGTAATCGGTCTACCAAAATATTTCAGGAATACCCCTATTCTATCTTAGTGGATTTTCCAAGAACCGTTGGTATAATTTAAAAGCTCTGGCTGCGGTCACACTGGCGGGGATGCATAAAAATAAAAACTAGCGTTCCATTTATTTTTCCATCGGGCCGTGCACTGCCCCAAATCCAATTCCGCTTGTCAAACCGTGAGATCCCAACAGCCAGGTGAGGCGACTACTGCAGACATCGCGACCACAACTGGATGTGAGGGGAACGACGGGGGAAGAGGCCAAAAGTCCAAAGGATCCAACCGCAAGCCACTTGCCAAACTGCAGGTATTCCGCAACCGGCGCAGGAGGAGCCGCCATGAATGCCCTGCGGCAGTTCTATCTGGAGATCCCAGTGGTCACACGGGCCTACACTACGGTCTGCGTGCTGACCACTCTGGCGGTGGTAAGTGCTCGTCCCGGACGTGGGCTTCTTTATCGAGACTAGGGTGACGTGTACGTGTTTAATCGGTGAACTTTGCCAACTTTCCAGCACCTGGATCTGGTGTCGCCACTGCAGCTATACTTCAATCCCACGCTGATCGTGCGCAAGTTCCAGATCTGGCGCCTGGCCACCACATTCCTGTACTTCGGCACCATAGGCATTAGCTTTTTCTTCAACATGGTCTTCACCTATCGCTATTGCCGCATGCTGGAGGACGGCTCTTTCCGCGGACGCAGCTCGGACTTTGTCATGATGTTCATCTTTGGCGGCGTGCTGATGACCTTCTTCGGGATCTTCGTCAATCTGCTCTTCCTGGGCCAGGCCTTCACATTGATGCTAGTCTACGTGTGGTCACGTCGCAATCCGCTGGTGCCCATGAACTTCTTCGGCGTGCTCAACTTCCAGGCACCCTACCTGCCGTGGGTGCTCCTCTGCTGCTCCATGATACTGGGCAACACCGTGTGGGTGGACGTCATCGGCATGGGCGTTGGCCACATCTACTATGTACTGGAGGACGTATATCCCACGCTGTCCAACGGCTATAGACTGATCAAAACCCCCTACTTTCTGTGAGTCAATTTCGAAGTCTAGAGGTGTATGTTCAGCAGCTTTTCTTTTTGTCCTCAGGAAACGCCTCTTCAACGAGCACATTGAGCGCAACTACCAGGCGGCCGCCGAGGACCGTCCTGGCGGCTTCCCCTGGGGCGGCGAAGGTCAGCCACTGCTGCCGGAGCAGAATGCGGCCGACGGACAGGAGCAGGACCAGGAACCGGCGGATCCAGCGCCGCCGGCTGCTGCGGCCCCGCAATAACAAAACTAGAAAACTTGATTGTTGTTGATCGTCGTCGTCAACGACGATGATGATGATGACAATGTTTTGTACCCCTCCGCCACCTTCCATTTGGTGCTTGGTGTATTTAGGCGTTAAGTATTGTGAAAGAGGCGTGCAATAGTTAGCCAAAGTTGGTGCAGAGCGTGTGTGTATGCCATCTATTGGTTTGTTTTCTGATGCAGAGCCCAATTTCCACGCGTTATGTTCTTCAAATTTAAATTTAAATTTGCCCCCAAGGGATGCATTCACGACAGATTGAAACTACACTGCACATGTGATTAAATATATGTATACAAACATGCTACAAATAAACCATGATGTAAAAAGCTCTATTGGGAGTTTTTATAAATAGTATAGGGGATTGAAAGAGCTTTGTAGGAGTCCAGTATCTCTATTTTGAAACTTTTTAATTTTGTGAAAAGAACTGGCTTTATAAGCTTTTATTAAAATGTAAAACATTTGTTTACACCGGGGTCATTGTTTATATAAGCACCCGAATAATTATTTGTATTAAATAGAGTGATTGAAAACAATAGTCATTAAGTGAAGGTTTAAAATACATTAATTAACGGATTTGCATAAAGTGCACCATATAGTATATTTAAAACATTATCAATTCGTTTTTAAAACGTGCCGACGCGCAAGTCAAAATTTAAATGCGCGCCAACTGGTTCCCTACGTTGCCACCTGTCAAAATTATTTAAGCAGTGTTGCCTTGTGCCGTTTTGAACCTTTAGCCAACGTTAGCCAACACAGCCTGTCCCAATACAATTTGTTCGTTGTTATTTTTCGTTTTTATTTAATTTTAAGCTGGCTGGGACTTAAATAGTAATTTAGGAAACAAACTCAGGATGTCGAGAATTGTGATGAATCAACTAACCCACCCGCAGCGTGTTCGCCTGCTGTACAAAACCATTCTGCGATTGCACAGAGGTGAGACTACTTTCCCAAAAATGGCATCCAACTCACCTGGTTTGTTGTGTTCCATAGGACTTCCGGCTGAACTGCGTGCTCTGGGCGATAACTATGTACGGGACGAATTCCGGCGGCACCTCACCTGCAATCCCATGGAGGCACAGCTCTTCATGACCGAGTGGGCCGTGAGTTTTACGTAATTACAAAATGGTGCTCTGCTAAGGAATTGTTCCATTGCAGCGCTATGCGTCCACGATCACCCAGCAACTGGGCATACGGGGCAAGCCCAAGGGGCAGTTGGGCGAGCAGATCGATCCCGAGGCCGTGGAAATGCTTAAGGACGACCAGGTGGTCCAATTGTACGAGCTCATGCTGGCGGCCAAGAGTATAGGTGATGATACAAGCGCGGCAAACGACATACGAAGCAAATAAATTGGTGGTTTTCTTTATTACGGCTGTTTCTCCAAGACCTTGTACTCGTATTTGATGCCATTCTCCTCCTGAACGCCCAGCGGCATGTCGGAGTCGGGAGCCACCTCCTTAAAGCTGTCTGGGATTGCAGGAAAGAAGGTGTCGCATTCGAACTGCTTTTCGATTTTGGTGATGTACAGCCGGTGACATCTGGGTGAGGCCATGGCCTCCTCATATACCCCACTTCCGCCCACGATCCAAATGTTCTCCACCTCGCTCTCGTGCTCCAGGACCTTCATGGCCGCCTCCAGACTGGGACAAAGAAGGACGCCTTGCGGCAGTTCCTCCTGTCGAAGCGTGGTGCTTAGCACAATATTGAGGCGATCGGGCAGAGGTCTCTTACTTTCCGGTACCCCAAAGTACGTTTTCCTGCCCATCACGACGGCATTGCGCTTCGTAGGATCACTAGTCCGCTTGGTGGTGCGACTAAAGTACTTTAGCTCAGATCTAAAATAGTTCAATCATTAACATGCAGTGTATCTTTTATTACCAACTTACTTAATGCGCCATGGCAGATCTCCCTTGATTCCAATCCCGAAATTCTCACACACTGCCACTATAAGATTAAAGCGCAACATCTTTCTTCTGGATTCACCTAAAAATCAGCTATAAAGCCGGTTTTGATCAGCTGATCGAGCCTGCGCGGGAATCGATTTCGATTGCCACTTATCGATATTTAAAAAAGACATTTACGTTACGATTCAAATAATGAACTTCGTTCCAACCATCCCTTCAATACAAACATTAACAAATTTAAAATTTCGGCTATTTATTGTTACATTTTCCACATCTATTTTACAATCGCTTGAGACAGCCTTTGCCAAAACCAAAACTAGATTATATATTTCAAAATATTAGTTTTCAAAGTTTCTGTAGTCATAGCTGCAATTTGAGGTGATGGGTCAAACGTGAGGCTTTCCACCTCTTAAATCAAGCCAAGCTCAAGCTTTTCCTTGTCTGTAAAAAGTAATTTGTTCATTTTGATATTTGCAGGGACTAACGATTCTGATTTTATGTTTTTTTATATTCTTGTATCTTATCAAAGTGTTCCCTCTGCTTTTTTCAATAGTATTCATTCTGGTTAATTACATTTTTGTGAACTCTAGAACATTATTGTGGTCCCTCCAGGAGCCAGTAGGTCTCCATCTCGCCCTTTCCCTTGACCTTGACATACCCCCGCGCCTCAACCTTGTAGCCAACCTCTCTCACCTTAAGGGCAGTATAGTTGGACAGCTGAATCATCCAGGGATCGCTGCTGCTCTCCATGCGTGAGGCGGTGTTAACGGTGTCCCCGAAGAGGCAATACCGAGGCACCTTCATGCCAACCACGCCGGCTACCACGGGTCCCGAGTTAATTCCCACCCGAATGGCTACACCAGGAAGAGCGTGATCCTTGACCTTCTTCGTCACCCTCAGGGCCAGATCGCAGGCATGCTCCGCATGGAGGGGATTGATGTCTGGAGCTCCAGAGACAGCCATGTACACCATTCCCACTGTCTCCACTTTGTACACGAAGGGGGAAATGATCTCCTCGTCCAGGGCCGAGAAGACCTTGTTCAATGTGGTCACCGCCTGCATGGCATCTTGAATATTGTTGGACCCGCTGTCATAGACATTCAGCACCTCGATAAAGATGACCGACACCTCCTCAAAGGTCTGGCAGACGTGCTCCTCGCTCTTCCTCATTCGCTCGGCAATGGGACGAGGGATCATGGAGTAGAGCAGTTCGTCGCCCTGCCGTTTCCAGGAGTCGGCCAGCTCCAGGGACTTCTCCAGCTCATCCGATCGCTGCTCCTCCTTCTCGAACATGATCTCCAGCTTGGAGCAGTGCTGCCATCCGGCCATCACCAGCTCTCGACTCAGGCCATGAGGATTGAGATCGTTCAGGTACAGACCAATGCCGTGCAGCTCATCCAGATTCTCGATCAGCGGACTGCACAGGAAGATCAGCGAGTCCACATCCTTGATGTAGAACATCTGACCCTTCAGCAGGATTGACCGCAGACCCACCGAGTGGCGTCGCTGACCCGTGGCCGGATCGATTTCATCCTTGGAGGTGGCGGCCGCAGTTGCCTCATCGCTGGCGTGCTCCGCACTGAACTCCTTGGCACTGGCCAAGGCCATGGCCTGAGCCTCGTTCAGACTGCCGGCCTCGTCAAAGGTGTCGAAGTCAAAGTTCAAGGCCGCATCGTAGGCGGCGCGGTTGTGACCCGTGCGGATCAACTCGAACTCGAAGAGCACTGTCCTCATCTGGAGAATGGTCTCCCATTCGACCTGAGTGTCCTTGGGTCGCCGACACTTGAACCGATCCATAATGTGGCTACCAATGAAGCTCTTTGGGTTTACGCCTGGGTTATGAAGGATCCAGGTCTCTACGATCTTCTCCCCCGCGAGTGTGATTCTCATGTCATGATCCAGCACAATGGTGAAGGGAAACAGCTCCAGAAACACGTTCAGGTCCACCGAGGGCATCTTGAGCTGAGAGGGATGGGCGATGACGTTCACCCGCTTGGCCATGTAGTCACGGTTGTCGAAGTCCAGCCGGTACTTAACTATCACGGTCAAAGGACCCTCGGTTAGCTTGATAGGACCCGCCGTGCCCCCGCAGATGTCGTTCTGGCTCTCCAGGACGTAGGCCGTCATGTCCAGGCCGTAGAACTCCTTGGCCACCTCGGTCATCTGGCCAATCAGGTACTTGGACATGCCAGTCCGTCCACTCCGGTATAGGATTACGGCTCCGTCATCGTCCATGTTGGTCAGCTGCATGCTGGGCGACTTCATCTTGGGATAGGTGAAACGCATCTGCACGTGGATGTTGTCGATGGACTGCAGGAAGTCGCAGAAATACCGTCCTGTGGAGCGGATCATCTTGTCGTAGCCGAAGTTACTGAAGAAGCGGACGAAACAGCGCCCAAAGAAGTTCATGCAAAAGTCAAAGGACTCGCCCGTGGTGGCGGACAGGGCCGCAGCAAAGTCCGGCATCAGCTTGTCCGGGTAGATCTGGTGCGTCTTGAAGCTCTGGTGCTTGCACTCGACTATTTGGCAGACCTTCCTCCAGGTCTCCATCCCGTACTCCTGCTGAATGTAGTGCTGTACGCTCTCGTACAGCATTCCGTACATGGTGACTGCGGTTTTTGGCTTGTTTTCTGGTCCTGTCTGTCGTCCAAATTGCTTTCGCAAAAGTTTTTCTGTAACGACGCAAAGTTAGAGGGCACATAATCAGGGTGAGGCTAAACAAACTTTTTCCATCGTTCACAGCTGGTAATTAGGTAAACTGTGTTCGTACTCCGGAGGATTTGAGTCAATTCTGTTGTGTTGGGTCAGGGATTAGTCCAGAAAACTCATATATAACTCTAGTGATTGATGGGAGTTAGGAAGGTTAAATACAGGGTCCTGCACCAACGAACTTGTTAGTAAGGTCTTTTGGATTTTTAAAGTCTTATTGGATTGACGTTTACGTTTTAACACTTAATATGATATTTATCTTAATTGATTACCTCCAATAAGATTTACGTTTTAAATAAATATTTATTTAATTAAACCGTACAATCATATATTTATATGTATTATTATTAAAAGTCTTGATAACAAATCCTATTGCTCTTGCTCTTAAAGTTTAAATATTTAATTATTTATGAGCTGAAGCTAATCAAGCTTAAAAACGTACTTTTAACAACAAAATTGTAATGTGTTTGATTAATATAATGAATCAACAACTACTGTGTTTCTGGCTTAAAGTTCAATATAGGCAACATAATTTTGGTAATCTGTTTCCTGACCTTTTTATTTTCGCCTGTTTGGTATCGTTTCGTTAAATAAACAGAACCCAACAGACGTAAAATTGAATTCTCTCTTAAAAGAAAATAAAACACGATTACATATGCGTGAAACATCGATCTATTTCCTCTTATCTAGCCTTCAACAACACTCTAGGAAAGTCTGCTTCTCCACTTTGTTATTTGATTTATTGCCACGACAGTTTAATGTGATACCCACGCGGAGAGTCCTTGATTCCACTCCTCAGTCTCCTTTCCCCAGTATCCTTTAAGCCTGTCACGTTCTCGGCGGAAGGAACATAGCTCATTGTATTCTTAACTTATTTCCGTTTGCTGTTGCCGGTAATTCGCAGTGGTGGCAGTGAGCGCTTTTCAATTTTTTTCTTCAAACGTCAGCGTCAGCTACTAAGTCATAAATTCTCAAACATCTTTCAGGAGTTTGTGTTTATTTAATTTCGAGCAAAAACATGCAAATTTCTGTCCTAACCCAAGGTCGTTAAAAGTAGATAAAAATGCTGTTGTTCGTGTGCCTCAAATAAAATGATTAATGTTTAGAGAATGTGAACTGTCAAATAAAATGTTAAAGGGAAATACTTGGTTTCTCTTCCCTTTAACTAAGGTTGATAATGATGGATTTAATGGCTCATAATTTATATTTGATAAATTTCAAAGATTAATTAACAATGGCTTCAATGCTAACAGTTAAGTATATTTAAATTCATGTACAGTTTACCAAAAATATATATTTCCCTACTTCTTGTTTCTCATAATTTTACTTCATCCTTCTACGAATTGCTCTTTTCTTGATTTTCAAGATTTCCCTTTCAAATCTCATTGATTAGAATACCGTGAAATTAGCTTATTATCGTTACCCGCTTACTTTTTATTGCTCTCCGCCTCTTTCCAATCCACTAACTTAATAGCGTCAAGTTCTCCAGCATCGAATCGCGTTTGTGTGCACCTCTCAAAGAGTTTTAATTTTATCCCCGCGGCATTTGCTCTTCGCTTATTTATAATTTAAGGAAGGCATACGCTCACACACACAGCTTCCCCGGATGCCTAAACTCCGTGTATATATATATATATATACGTATGTTTTTCGTACACTTTCCGGGAGCTCTCACTTTTCCGGACTCCGTGTTGCGTCGTCGGCAGTTGCTATTGTTACACTAAATTTGTTTTGCCGCCTGTCGCTGCTCCTTGGCTTCTGGCTGTCTGATTTGTTTCATGATTTCCTCTGACGAGCTTCGTGAGTCTGTCGGTTCCTTTACGTCCGTCGGATACGTCGGGCGGAGCTTTCCCTTTTAGCCCGGCCAATGTTGGTCGAATGAAGCGTGCCTCTTTTGTGGTCAGGTCTTTTATAGCCGCCCACCCACTGCCAAGTTGCAGTTGGAGCAACACTTCCGGCCCACTTAGGACCTACGTGCCGGCGCCTCGACACGCACTTCTTTGTTTGACCATCGTGATCATCATCATCATCATCATCATCATCATCAGTACCAGGAACAGTCGCCAGTCAATGCTCTTTGCCCAATTGCCACTGTCTTTCCTTCCGATACAGTATCAACATTGACACACAACCGAAGGAGTCATTTTTCTCTCGGTTGATTCCTTTTATGGCCCCTGACTCCCTCACATCGCTGTATGTGTGTTCGTTGTCCTGGCATTCCGTGCAAAGAATTGTCCTTTAGGTCTTCCTGTTCAAGCGCTGTTCCAGGGATGGATAGAAAGGAATCCTGATGGGGAGCAAAAATAGAGTTCATATTACTGTTAGCTTAGGTAATGGTGGGTTTATGGTGGGATACCAAATTAAACTTAGCAACAAAATTGTCTCAGTTTCCTTTAATAA